TATATATTGATTTTTATGATAAATTGGAAAAAATAAAAATCTTAAAAAAATAAATATTAGAAAAATCAATGTTTTTAATTATTATATCAATTTAACGTAAATTAGATTGAAAATTATATTTGTGGTGGACCCACTTGATTTTCCGGTTAGTATTATTACCGTTCAAATCCTTCCACAAGTAAAATATTTAGGTTTGTTTGATTTGTAGGATTGTGGTATTTTAACTATCAATTAATAAAAATATATACATTTTAAAAAATGTCATATGATTTAGGAAATAATTAATATATAAATTATATATTTTTATATATATATTTTTAAATCCCCTTACTTTAATGGAGATTGTTAACGGAGTTAGTGACCAGTGACCATTTTCAAAGCAAAATGAAAACCACAAGAACGGTTTCTAGACTTATCAAAGTTCAGGTACCACTTTTAAATATTTCATCAAACCTTAGAGACAAAAGCTATTGGTCGTTTACCAAATGTTTATCCGAGTAAGTGCTTATGGACAAAAATTCAATACTATCACTTACTTACTAGGTAAGATTTTAGTTCATCAAAACGGTACCGTATGCAAAAATTTACCCGGTAAGTGCTAAACATGTTAAGAGTTGTCGCCCTCACTTACAGGGTTAAGATTTGATCCTTGGCTTCGCTTTTACCAGGTAAGATTCTTGGTGTTTGCTATATACATCCGGTAAGGTAATGTGACTTGGTAAACGCTTAGCCGTATAAGCATTTGGTAAACGGCCACTTAGAGTTTACCTCTGTTGTATAAACTATTTATAAATAATGGAATTCAATTTCATTTCCAATTCTACAAACCATACACACCAAAGATTTCAAATCATTCCAAATCCAAACCCCTCAAATTCCAAATCTTTCCACAAAATACAAATTCCTCAAAACTATTCATCAAGACAAATTGCCTCTTAGGGTTTTAACTATGGTGTAAATGATGGGAGTTGAGCTCGAGTGCTGATATACTCGTTTGAAACTCGAATTAAGCTCACTTTTTAAAATTTAGAAAATATTAAGGTCTTTTCTTATAAAGTATAAAATGTAAGGTTGTTCTCTTAAACTTTATAAACTAAAGGGATGTAACTCAAACTTCATTATTAAGAAAAAACAGAGCTACAAACCCCATTCACAGCTATCTCTTTCTACAACATCTCTTCACCCTTCTTTTGTTACCTCTTTTCTAATATAGGACAACTTCATCAACACCTTTATAGTTTTTTTTTTTGCCTTTTTTTAATTATGATTTAAATAAAAAGATAACTGATTAGTTTTTATAGTTAAAAAATGCACATATTAGTTAAAATATCTAAGAATATAAGACATTTTTGTTATAATTATATTTTACAAGTTATATAAAAATGATTGTATTTTAAAATTAATTTATAAAAAAAATTGAGTATCTCACTAGTTTTTTGAGTCGAGTATTGGGCAGCTCGACTCGACTCATTATTACATCGAGTCGAGCTTTAGTTCCAGCCTAGCCTGTTCGAATCAAGTGTTGATCGAGTTCTTGTAGAATCGATCTCGAATAGCTCTCGAGTTGTCAAATTATCTCATATCATTTACATTCTTAGGGGGTGTTTGGTTCACATAATGGAATTTGATGGAATTGGAATCCATCAAAGGAATTTGACTTTGAAAGAATTGGAATGAAATCTCTCAATACAATTGGAACAATCGTCTTTATTTGGACTATCCCACCAATCTCCCCGCCCACACCCTACCAACCACCATGTCACTATTGTCGTTGTCACAACTATCACCACGCTCCCTACCTAGACCTAACCCACCACCCAACCCCACCATTCCTACCCTTCCCCCTGCTCCATAGGTGGGGGTTGTTGGGGACATGCAGTGAGGGGAGAGGTCGTAGGGGTGGGGCCAAGGTGGGGCAGTGGGTGGCAGGGTGGTAGCTGTGACGACTATAGTGGTATGATGGTGGTTAATGGTGGGTTAGAGTAGGGTAAGGTAGGGCGAGACGGGACAGTGGGGTAGGTGGCAGGGTAGTAGATGTG